CAGGGAGACCATGTAGAACGCACCTTGTCCGAAGTCGTCTGCCATAGTAGTTGTCATGATTCCCAGCATCCGACAGTGGACTTGATACATTCTACTAAGTCGTTATGACAACAAGACCAAGTTGCGACAACCAGGTAAATCAACTTCTATAAATCGAAAGGAGACTGTGACTATAAGATATACTCTTGATATACTCTAAAAATATTAACTTTATCCATTCGTCTTCTTTTTGCTGATATTCCTATTCCCTCATATTCTCCGGGTTTGCTTAGGCGCTATGCAACCTTTTCGTTAATCCTGACATCTTCAAGTCTCCTCATCATTTAGCGCCATTCAGTTAGGACATCAATGGCTTCTTGTATCTTACGTCTTCTTGTATTTCCACCAAATTCTGACGATTTCCACTCGATTTCGTGTCCCATTCGCGCGATGTGCTACGCTATTTTAGATCTTTTAGAGTCCATGTTTCTGCAGTCTTTGTTGTTCCTTGATTCGTAGGCAATCCAGTTTGTTAACCTTCTCGTTTTGCATCTACAGACTTGTGAAGAGTGCTCTCTTTTCTTTTATATTATCACTTTGCTATTCTGCCAATTGACTTTCTTGAATTGTTGCAAGTATTATGGCATTGCTCCCGCATTTTGCAACCTAATGAGGAAGTCTTACTCGGACACAATTAATGAATTAGTTTATTACGTCTGCATTCAGAAATTGGAGAAAAGTCACGGAACTGAAACGCGCAACCTCTTGAAGTTCATAGATATTATTTCGGGATTAATGAAGGATCTAGTGGTAGGTTCTAACGTATAATACGTGTACACAAACAATTGAGGCGATGAAGCAGTTGCCGCCCTGCCGGAGGTCTTGGAATGAGTCGTTAATACGAAGAATCAATTTGATAGTTGTTACCACATATTTTACATTCAACGGCGATATCCATCAGCAAATATTTGGACTGCCGATGGCATCTCTATTCTCGTCTTTTTTGGCAAATTGGTGAAGGAATTCGAGAAGTCTCCGCTGCAACCGAGAGTATCTGGACGGCTAAATTGCACTTTGGTCACATGACAAAAAGAATTTGGATCAGTTCCTCAAATTGATGTAAAAATTAAATTTACAATCGAGGTGAAGGAGGATAAATGACTACCCTTCCTGGACGTTAAGGTCATTTGCTCCAACGGAATACTCACGAAGATACTATTAAGAAAGAAATAATATGAGGGAATAATCCTCAATCTCTGGTCTCATCACAACTACAGACTGAAGCTCGGAATAGTGAGGTGTTTGAGCATCAGAAGCTAAAGACTAACGGGCTCTGAGTTCTGGAACGAGGAGTTGAGGAATCTGATTTTGAGTTGTCCTAGTAACGAGTACCCCAGAGAATTTCTAGAGAGAAATATAGTGGTCATAAAGAGCATATTTAAACCAGGATTTTATGTAAATAAGATCAGAAATCGGCAGGACGATAAAAAGCAGATATACCTGAGCAAGAAATTGCGACAGTCGCTAAGACAAGGTGACAACAAACAAAAAGACAACACTCTCCACAAGCATGTCGACGCAACACGACAAGATTGATCAACTTGATTGCTCGGTAGTCTACAGCATCACATGCGACAACCGTGAGCAGAAGTAGATTTATGAAAAAGAAAAAGAAAAATCGGCCTACGAATCAAGGAACATTAAAGACTCTGCAGAAACATGGACACTGAAAGATCCGAAATAGCGGAACACATCGCACGAACGGGACACGAAATCAAGTGGAAATACAAGAAAGCGTAAGATACGAGAAGCCATTGATGTCCTGACTGAAAGGAACCTAATGAGCAGGAGACTTGAATATGTCAGGATTAGCGAAAACGTGGCATAGCGACCAAGCAAACTGGGAGAAGATGAGGGAATTGGAATATCTGCAAAAAGAAGAGCAGACGCTATAGTGAATCTATTCAAATCAAGTAAAACCCTCCCATTTGGGGGTTGGTATGTCATAGAATGTGGTGGTGGCCATTTCTAGTTGGCATTTTGGTAGATAACTTTGCCTATAGACGTGGTCCATGAAGTAAAGTCTCATCCACGCGACTTACTCGGTGCACATGCGGCACAGCGTTGCCATGCCAATTCAGAATCCAGACTTTATGGGCTTGCTCAGTGAGGATGGTGTAGACGTGGCATCGCAGGCTTGAGGCAGAGTGTGGAACAAAGTCTTGAAAGTAGCACGAATACGGCGGTAGAGATGAGGTGAAATCTGTGAAACAGGCAGACAAATGAACGATCTGAAGGAAGAGGATTGCGGATTAAATCACAACCTTGGATCAACACACCCGGCAGAGTGGGAGGGATGTGAAAACCAGCGAGGAGTGTGAATAGCTTTCAAAAATAGGTTTAGATAAAAAAATAGGAAATTGTGATATTGAAGAGGTGATACGAGAATATAGAAATGAGAAATACCATGATTGTTTAGCACACATTTTGTCAATGTATCGTCTTCATTTGTCTCTTTGACGAGTTGTAGAGTGATGCTAAGAATGGCACTGCTCACGGACAATGATAAATATGATGCCGGCAAAATGTCTGTGAATGTAGCTTCGATTGTGGAAATGAAATTCGAAGAAAATTTGTCTTTCTAGGAATCGCTTG